GGTGAAAATTTGGGTTTAGGCAGGGCAGCATGCTGATACAACCTGAATTTCCGAGATTCAAACGAGACCAACTGCCAACTGGGCAGTTAAGTTCAAAGAATGAGCCGAAGGCCAAACTGATATTTCAATGGACACCCAATCAACACGGCAATTGGGAAATCCCCTATTGCAGGTCTCAATAGGAAGATCATCGTGAATGGGGGATTGTGCCATGCTTGCTTAGTGGAGGGTATCTCGTTGGTCGTCTCAAGTTCTTGAAAGAAACATGAAACATATTAAAAAATTGTGATGTGAGCAAAAACAAATGCTCCTGAAAAAACATGTGTAATGTGTACAAATGTGTATATATATATGTATACTCTTAATTCTGTTATGTGTATATGATCTGAATATCATTGAATATCTATATCAATATCTAAGCAGAACTACTTAGATGTTTATCATCTATAATTAGCAGAATATCGCAAATCCTACGGCCGCGCCTTTCGTATCCGTGGCGGCAATGGAGGGAGTTTTGGACAGCCCTGGCGCGGCGGTTATCCCAACGGGATTCCGGCGTCGTGCCGTCCATAGGCCCTACAACTGGAGTGTCATAAATTGGGATTTACCCTCTGGTAATTTAACATAGCTATTGAAAATTGCCATTTATAGTGAATTTACTAATTAAAATGGTGATTTCCCTTCGTTTTTTGTATGTTTACCAGAGGGTAACTATGGCATACCATGGCTATGATCACTTAATGATCTTAATGTGGAACATAGTGAAACATAGTGGAACATAGTACCACGGCAAGGTGTCCGTTTGGCGGATTGGGATAAAAACCACACGCTTATACTGAAAAGGACGGAGATGGCCACTGGGATTCTTATGAAACACAACGGGGCTATGGGATTTTTATTGGATGTTTACCACCAACTGGTGCGATTAAATGGATTAGGTCGCGGAATCATAGTTGAAGTGTATAAATCCAAATTGTCTTTAGAAGAATTTGCAAAAAAACACAAATGACTTTCTTTGAGAGATCCCCACCCTGACAATCCCTGACACACTATTCTGATATAGTTTCTGACATAACATCTGAAAGTACATATGGCATCATATGGCATATATGTTCTGACATTCTATCTGACATTCCTTCTGGCGTCTCTGACATTCTATCTGACGTTCTTTTTGGCATGCTTTCTGGCATCTATTCTGACATACTTTCTGGCATTCATTCTGGCGGCGTTCTATCTGGCATCTATTCTGACATTCTATCTGGCATTCTATCTGGAATTCAATCTGGCATTCTATCTGATATGTATTCTGACATTATGTTTAAGCATTCTATAGGGAACTCTCTCTGGCATGTCTTCCGGTCCAGGCGTGCCCCACAGCATCCGGGGCTTGCGACAGTGTTCGGGTCCAGGCGTGCCCTACAGCATCCGGATCTGGCAAAGGAGGATGAGGAGGAGAAGGGGTTGCACTGTTGTTAAAATCTAGAGGCCCTCACCTGGCAGGTGGGGAACAAACCATATTGAGTCCAACATCTTTCTCTATTAGATCATCACTTCAGCGCTTCAAATCCGCGTATTTCATATCTGTGGATCCATATACTTCCTGCGAAGGGACAAATCACCCCCTCAAATCATACCCCGGTCATACTTCTTCAGAAGCTACGGCTGGATCGATAGGGTATATATGTAATATATTTATTTATGCCAGTAGTACCGCACAAGGCGGTGGCGGAAGTTTCAAAAATGGAAAACCTATAGGAGAGGTGAGTTGGTGTGGCGCAAAAATTGCAGAGCGAACCCACTGATGGATTGAAAGGTGGTTGAGTGTTTCTGCCTTTCTGTCTCTCTTTTTCTCTTTCTCTCTGTGTCTCTCTTTCGCCATCTATCTACAGAGTTACCTTTCTAGCCATCTACCTATCTACCTGTCTATTCATGTAGCTATCGTTCGATTTGTTTATTCACCCAACTATTAAACTCTCCATCTTTCTGTCTATCCAGCCATTCATCCACTCTTCAAATGTCCCATGCTTGCCATCGTTTTTGGAAATGCCACAAAACCCTCACGTTTTGCTCACTTTTGAAGAGGTGCACAATCCCTTGCGCCTGCCACGCGAAACGACATCTGAACCTCGAAAAGTGGCGCGAGCATGTGGTGTTTTGTACATTTTGACTTGGAAATGTGCTTCGCGCCACAACGGCGTGCACTTTTTCAACATCTCAACTGCCAAAAGTGGTCCGGAGCTGGTGTGCTTTGTACATTTTGACTTGGAAATGTGCTTCGCGCCACAACGGCGCGCACTTTTTCAACATCTCAACTTCCAAAAGTGGTCCGAGAATTGTTTTTTTTATGCATTTTGACTTCGAAATGTGCTTCGCGCCACAACGGCGTGCACTTTTTCGACATCGCAACTTCCAAAAGTGGTCCGAATCGCTGGTGTTTTTAACATTTGACTTCCAAATGTGCTTTGCGCCACATTGGCGTGCAACTTTTCATCTCTCATCTGGCCAGCTGGCTCCGCACCCGCCGCTTTAGCGAGCCTACTTTTCGACCCTCCGGAGCCCCAAATCATTGGGGAAACACCGTGTTTCGCGACTTTCCTACCTTTTCGCGCATCGGCATCTGCTTTCTTCTGACTCTTTCTCTTCTACTCTTCTTTCTTCTGATCTTTCTCTTCTCTCTGCCTCTTCCCTGCTCTGCTTTTCATCTGTCCATATTGTCGGAAGTTTAACTTCTAAACCTTCCTTCGATTACATATATATATATATACATTACTATATATATATACTACACTATATTACAATGCCACTCCAATCCCATCATCATCCCACGAAAAATCACGTTTTCAAATTGGTTGACCCGTGATTTAATGTGATGACAATCTTTCCGGGTGGTATAGACCATCCACAAATGGTAGGTGCCAATGGCATTGGCTTTTCCACATCATGGTTAATAAGTATAGGGGAAACCACGATGATACTGATATACTTAGCCATACAAGGTTCCTGCAATCATACTGAATGGCATTAATTAGACTATGATTAAACAAATAAGGCTTTATGGTCCCACTATAATCTCATGATACTCTCATCCCACTAAATCAATCTAAATCACGTGTTCAACTTGGATAACTTGCTATTTTTCATCCCTTGGTTGACCCATGGCTGCAGCCTCAGAGGGGAGGAACTTCTTCCGGGGCGGCCGCTTTGGGACATTTCGCGGCAACCTCGCTGAACGGAGGTCCAACTGATATCACCCGTGAGGACGTTGGGGGCTGCCAATTGCTGCGCACCACGCGTTTGTCTCCCCACATCTTTCACAGAAACCTCATATACAACCCCTATAATTCATGGTCAAATCAGCTCCTATTAAAACATATTAAAACACTATTCAACAGTTTGTAGCAGGCATTGCACTGCGCATTTGGGGCCACAAAAAACCACAGATCCCGCTACGACCGTCGACATGCGCTAAGGACGCCGCCGCAGTCGGAAGAAAATCCATCCCAGCCTTGGAGGAATAGGGGAGTTGGGGAAGTGGATTTACCCTCGGCCAATCAATGACTGGTTGGTGGCAGACCCACCCCTCTGAAAAATACGAGTTCGTCAGTTGGGATGATTGTTCCCAATATATGGAAAAATAGAAAATGTTCCAAACCACCAACCAGTTATTTTCCCATTTCTCCTTGGAGAAATAAAAAATGAAATCAAACGTGGCATGAGAGGATCCCACATTTAGTTTCATGATTCTCCCATTCAAACACCATATAGATTTTCAAGTGCCATGTTTGACTACCAGATGGTAACGTTCAACCATAGAGATTTTCATGGGATTTGTTTCATCACTTGTTTAACCATGAAACAACTGGGGTTTGACATGGTTTCACCTTAGGGACTTAAATGGGATTTGATGGGATATCAATGGGCAGACAAAATGGGGATTCTGATTTTACTTACCATGTTACAGTAGCACGATTTTAGGCAAAAAAATGGCGCGCTAAGAATTGCAGAAAAACACGATATGGTGCACAACAAAAAACGCAGACAAAAAACATCATATGACAGGAACAATGGCAAACAGAGTACGATTTGGTGCACGAAGAAATGCCGGAAAAAAACAAGATTTGGTGCACGAAGAAATAAACAAAACATGTCATGGATGCTGCATGAGGAAATGCAAAAAGAGTAGTGTTTCTGGTGCAAAAAGCATGTGCTATATATAAATTGTGCTTTTTCCTTGTAAAATAGCAAGCAGAAACACGATTTGAAGCACCATTTGGGGCACGATGAATTTATATTCTTTTCTATTATGCCAATCCAGAGGTTGGCGCAAGCAAAGAAAAATTGCGCGGCGCTGAGTCAAGAAAAGTGCACATCTTGAAATTGTGATGTGCGATGTGTGGCAGCCAGAAATTGGAGTTGAGCTGGATGGACGGGCTTTGTAGTCCAAAGTTTCCTACGTGTTCCCAAACTGCAATATTTTTTAAAATGAAAAAAAACGTGATTTCATGGTGCACCATTTGGGGGGTCTGTTTAGTAAGAACACCTTTTACTGACTGCTACCGAGCAAAAATATTCCCCAATGGATCGTGAATAGGGGTTTCAAGCACCTAAATAGGGCAATATGACCTAATATTATCTTGACATCGGCCATTCGTTTGTGGTGGTTCCATAGAATTTTCATGGGGATAATCCATTGGAATTCGGGTACGTAGCCTATCTCCCGACAAACCCATGCGATTTGATGGGGTTTCACGGGATATTCTTCCAACACAGTGGGGTAAACCATGCGGTGTTCATCATTTTTTCTATGTATCTGTCCAAAAATGGGAGACTTCCCCTTTAATTAAAAACTGTGTTCGTGGCCCTAGATTTTTTAGGTATCCTATCTTCAGACAAACCCAAATCAAGAATGCATAGAAGCTTCAAAATGCGTGAAAAGTACCATTAATTCCATGAAATTACCATTGCATTACCATGAAATCCCACCACCGCCCGGCCGGCGCTCAGAGAGTCTCAGAGGCTCCCGACACGGAGGCCAGCTTCACGGTGAGATGACTCTTGCGATCCCCCTTCACCGTCTTAGCAGCCTGGCGCCAGCGCGCCGTAGGCTCGGTGGACTTTATGGCTGGGGGGGTAGGCTGGGTTTTTGGTTTTGTTCGTTGGGATATACTGGGATATATATATATATACATGTATATACACATGTATATATGTGTATATATAATATGTGTATATATAAAATAATGTAATATAATACAATATAATATAAATATATATATATATATACATACATGTATGTATATATCATGATGTAAATATATATATATATATATAACAAATGATTAAAAATTGATTCTTGTAGATGTTTGATCGGACTTGGATATAAAACATATACATAATCAGACAGTGGTATAATGTGGAGCAATAGGATGAATGAGCGTGGTTTACCCCACGAATCCTAACTACTTGAGTTTAACTGTGGAGGTTTGATGTGACTCAATTACCCTCTGATAAACTAACATAACTATGGAAAATCACAATTTTTAATGGGTAAATCAACTTTAAATGGCAATTTTCAATAGCTATGTTAAATTACCAGAGGGTATATATTGCTGGGTGAAGTCATGTACTGCAAGCTCTACATAAACTGGAGATATTCCGTTGATGTTCTTTGATCATGGTATACCCCCAGTGGAAATGGCAATTCAATGGAGGAAATGATGCTTCACCAATGGATTTAGGTCTACCTAATTTTCAGTCAATCCCAACTGGGTTGCAGGATCAGAATTTCTTGGTGAGCAAAATGCTACTGGTGTTGCGTTGGCATTTGTTGAAGACTGGATGCGTTGCACACATACTTTCTGTTCAGCAGGCACGGCAACGGAACACATTCAAGTTCAAGATATATTACCACACACACAAGTCATGTCTGAAGATGTTTTGAATTCAACACATGTTCAAAACAAATACCCTAACTGGACGGTATCCAATGGTTGCATGGAAGCTTTAAACGATTCATCCTTGATCCAAGAGATCCTCAAACTTGCGATACCCCGCAAAAGCTGTAAACAATGCTAAAGATGATACAGTGTGAGATCAACCAAATACACACATGTATACATATAGAAAATGTATCTTATATGTATATATATACATACATACATAGATGTTAAATAATATATATATATACACATAAATGTTATATATATATAAATATTATATACATATACATTCCTCTGTTGGTAGCTAAACATCGTTAAACTTTCACCACTCACCTTGGAGAACATGAACAAAAAACATCGAGATCCCCAATAGCTGGTTGGTTTAATAATGGAAAATCCAAAAATGACATGGTTGATTTGGGGAGACCATTTTAGGAAAAGTCCACATACGTATCAAACCAAGATGGATATAAGCCATGGCCAATTCCACCTTTACTGTCCTGAACATGGTCCCCATTTCAAGATTTCAAGCATCATGATTCTTGGAATCCCTGGCGGCCAACCGATGTCCGCCTCATACTACTGCATGATAATCTGATAATTATCAGACAAAGAACATCAAAGAACTATGACTTTTGGGTTCTACATGTCGATAGATAACTGGTTGGTGGTTTGAAGCCGAACAGTATGAGTTCGTCAGTTGGGATGATGACATTCCCAACTGAATGGAAAGTTGGAAAGTCATTCAAAAATCCATGGTTCCAAACCACCAACCAGATAATGGTTAAGGTTTACTATCATAATATCGGCCAATGATAAATCCATACTGATGCATTGAGTTCAATCCCCGTGTCAAGCTGCGCCTCGGCAGTGAGGTATTCGTGGAGGAGTCCGCTGCTGAGAAGCCTCGAATGGTGTTCAAATGGTTGTCTGAGAGCCATAAATGATGATACTATACACCACTTCCAGACAAACACATTGATAACATTTGCTAAGGTTCTACTGGTGCTGTTAGTTTTGTTGGTTTCTTAACACCCCATGAACTATGCCATAAACCAGAGAATTCAGCCTGTCTACCAGCCTAGCTGTCTTTGGGCGCTGCCTTTAACCGGGGACAAAATTGGGGCTTGACAGTGGATCTATGGCAGGATGTGGTTTCCGTTGGTCCAAAGCACTTCCCCTAAAATGGGGCTCCAATCCCATCGCGGGGATTTCCTGGGCAAAACGCATCCGTTCTGATCCCGGTTTGTCAGGAAGCCTTCAACGACCAAAACCTCGTGCTTAAGTCGAAACCATTCTTTCAATGTATGGAGAACTTCCCAGCCCCGAAAGTTCTCTGGGCGCGGGTGTGTATGGGTCCCTAATCAAATTCAACTTGATCACAGCATCTAAGGGATTCAAAAGGTAGTCCGTGATTTCATACAGCCATACATATTTCATCATCTTTGCCTCCATGTGAGCATTGTTCAAAATTCTTCTATCATTCCATGATACTGGTTGGTTTATAGAAATTCCCGGATTCCCGTATTATAAAAAATTCGCCCATTTTTTAAGGGGTAGTATAATCCCCGAACTAATCATCAACCAACAGGGGTGGATCGCAGCCACTGCTCATGCTACCCGAACCTCCGTGGTCGTCTGCCTCGCATCTCCATGGATTCCCGCCCCGCCTGACAAGAATGAGGTTGGCAGGTTCCGCTTCGAAGAGGTGCGTGCAGAGGTTCGCCAGGTTCCTCAACGCTGGGAAAATGGGTCGACAACAAAACACCGACCGGGTGACCGGGAGAGTTGTGGGCATTTCATGGGAAAAAAAATATGGTAAAATGATGATAAACCTATGCAAAAGGGTTATTTTTGAAATCTAATGTTCCTTGAAACTGGAAGACTTTTCCTTGAAATTGTGGTTTGTTAAATGGAAATGAAATCAATGGGACTTCATGGGGATATTGGATACAATAGAAATATAAAATGGGGATACTTCATAGCCAAATTGTAATTTGCCAAATCAGTACCTTTTAGTAATCATATATCTGGGTAAATTATAATATTTCACTAACCTGAAATAAGGCTGTTTGGGGATGATTCCCTTTACTAAACTTTGATCCAGTGAGGTCCTAACGAGGTCGTTACAATTTATCAAGATATATATGTATATCACCATTATCAACCATTGCCAAGCATTATACATATCACCACTAATATTATCACCATTATATTAACCACATATATATATATATATCACCATATAATTCGTTTTGGGAAATTGACACAAATTCCTAAACCATCCTGAAACCAAATGATAGACCGGGGAAACCATGGCCAAAACGGTTATATACTATATGTTAGAATAGGAATACCCACTAAATAAATAAATATATATATATGTATAAACATATGATTATATACTGTATGTATATATGCATATTCACTGTCTATTCAATGTACATATATATAAATATATATACATACACTCATGTGTTTGCTAGTAACAATAATATACTATATACACCATAGTAATCATATAGTGAATATAGGTACTATTTGTAATATATATATATAATTATATATATATGCTAATCGCCCGTATTAATGTTCACGATCCTATAATTTATTTGTTTTTTTTTTAAAAAAATATATATCTCCCCTTATACAGTATATTCTATGGCTAATATTTATTATAGTAATGATATGTAATATATATATAGTTACATATACATATATGGGAGGATATAGCAAATATATTATCTTTACTATAGTATATAATAATATCTTTAATCATGTTGTCATCGTATTGTGGATAGAATGGCACTGGCACTGGCGCTTTCCATCGCCTGGTGGTGCCATCCCGCTTGATCAGGCCTTCCTGCCAGCTTCGAAAAATGCTGGGCTTATATGGAGGTTTCCATGAAATAAACCATCCAATGTTGGGGGTAGCCCTATTTCAGGAAACCCCCTATATGGTTTTATGATGTTTTATGTGTTCTGGAACTTCATGGGGATATAATTCAATGGAAAATGATATGGGTTTATTTCAGATATTGTCGAAGTGGTACTCTAACTACTGGGGGGCGCTTTTTTTCGATGCCACAAAATCGGTCCCCGGAGATCCCCTGTGGCACGCGAAAACACCGCTGCCTGGTACAGGAACTCCAGCGAGAAACGGCTTTGGTACGCCACCTGAGACACGCGGACAGTGTGATTTAAAAGTACCCCATGATGGGATTAATGAGTACCCCATGACTATAAAAATGATATAAAACGGACGACAATTGGAATTAACCAGTGAATGGAATGGAGTACCCTATTTTGAGACAAACCCAAATGATGTTATCTAGATATTGAGTGAGAAATTCAGAGTGGTTTAACATGTTATAACCATCCAATAACCATCCAATTTGGGAATTCAACTGGATCTAACTATATATCACAATTTGGGGGTTAATCCCATCTATCCAACATAAAATACCCCCGATTTTTAGGCCCCCAGTTCATCAAGAGATCCAATACTAACTTCGTTTTCTTGGGGGGGATATATCTATAAAAAAAGAGGCAAGATATTAAAACTGACAAGTAACAACACATGATACCATGTGGTTATTTAACATAGCCATGGAAAATCACCATTTTTAATAGCTAAACCCTCTATTTCTATGGGCCATTTCCCATGGCGAACTGTAACAAATAACCAGGATGGGTATATCAAATCAGTTGAGTCAAATGAGTCAAAATCCCATTTTTATTGGTTCTAGATCCCCAAGGCTGTTGAAATCACAATTTATGACATGTTATACCCATTTCAAGTTATGACATGTTGTATTTTGAAACCATTTCGGTCGTTGGTGGGTGATCCACATAGGCAACCAACCATCTTTTGTTAGCTCCCCGAATTACGTTTCATAGTTGGAACCAATTTTAACGAATGGTTCACTCCAAATTGTGTCATCACCAAAAACTCGCGGGTTTCATTTTATTTCATCTTCCATCTATCCCTAGTATATCCAAATTAATGTTACTAAAGCAATCGTAAACCATCCCCAATCTTACCATATACGCGTGGTAAAAAAACGAAAAAAATGTTGGTTGATTCTTGCTTTACACCAACGTTTTTTCACGCAACCACGAAAAGGGTGCCTGTGTGACGAGCTCTGCAGTCTTGCTTTCGAAGAAGGGCAAGGTGAACCTCGCTGTTGCAACTTGGTGAATTGCACGGGATCTTAATGGGGATTTTCCATGGGAAAACTGGGTGAATTCTCTGATTCATAGTCCCAGATTTCGAAACTAGAAACTAACATCGTCTGGGGCCACCTAGGGGAATTCTTCCACATGTTTTCAAAAATGAAGGGAAACTAAACATATATATATATAATATAATACATATATATATATATATTATATATAATTATATATAATATATATATAATTATATATATAATTATATAAATAATTATATAAATAATTATATATAATTATATATAATTACATATATAATCTAAAAAAACATTATATATACAATTATAAATAATTATATATAATGGTTATGAAACGAGCAAAGGTGGAACATATCATTGGATATCTGGACAAACCATAAGATTTCGTTAGCTAAAAGGTGGGGTGGTTTATAAGTTGGTTAACTAGGATTTAAGCAATAACTGGTGATACAAGTGGTTTGTTCGTTTATAACATCATTGTTTATAAGTTGGTTTGTTGGTTTACACGTTGGATATAACTACAGTTGATGTGATGAACCAACAAACATCGGCGGACCCACCTTGTAGCATAATTACACCCGGGCGATTTCTGATCCATACAATGTGAACCATTTCAAGAAAATCGACCACATTGCTTGGATGTGCATGCCAGCTAGTAACTCGGTAACATCTCGTTAAAAAAACAACTATACATGGGATACGATACCATTATATTTAATACCACACCTATATACATAGTATAAACATACAGAACATACATTCATAAAACCAATTTTCGGGACTTTAGTATGGATATATTAATAAACTACTTCAAAAATATAACCGTTGATATACCCACCCCACATGCTCTATGTACGGTACATTTTGCAACATAAATGGATCATGTTTGGGCTACATGTTGCTTAGTATTCCAGCACCATAGAGCATATGGGACAATTATAACCATTGTATGATAGTAAAATAATAACAGTACAAACATATTAAAACACAGAACCAAAACAAATAACCCTATGCTATCCTATTATACTGGTTGGTTTTCATCTTCCCAATGAATGGGGTAGTCTAATGGTATAACTTCCTATAAGCAACTAACCATCATGTCTCAACTACATCCACAAACCACTACACTTGGTTGATAATCCGATTAAAATCCCAATCAACAATGGTATCCCAATAAATTAGGTAACAACTGGTAGTATGATGATCTATAGTTTTAAAAAATCTATAATAACCATAAACAATACTAGTAGTTAGTGACAGGTAGTTACTGCAATCATAGCTAGTTTAAGATTGTACTATGGTTCCTAAAACTTACAAAAATTATATAAAAAAACATGGCTATTATATGTTAATGTGGTTTGTTTAATATTGCTACTATAGCTAGTTTGAATGGTTCCTTTATGGTTCCACTATTTCAGGACTGTAGCTGGCACCACTGAGACACCCGACACAGGTGCCACGCATCTGGCCACCTCGCTGGATGGGCGGCCCAAGGCTTTCTCCTGGCGCCGTATCCAAAAAAAACACCGGGCAAGAAGAAAAACGGCTGGGATTTTAGGGAAAATTTATGGTTACTTTATGGTGGTTTAATGATGATTATTAAGTATTATGAGCATATGAGTTCAACGCAGATGTGTGAGAAGTGAAAATTGGTTAACACCGGCAGAGCTGAGCGGGTCGTTGCGGCGCACACAAAGAAAGTATGCCAAGTAACAGCACCTGTGAGGCAATATCAGTGCAAAGAACCAACCCTTACGGTTACCACAGTAGCCTAAATAATACGTGCAGAGCAGTTTGGACACGATTTTATATCGGTGCAGCTTCAGATAAGATCCTCAAAATATTCCGGCCAACGAACTTCGCCCTGGCCGCATCAACTTCAGCTAACACAGAAGAGTGAAAGAGTGACGCCACAAAGCACTGCATGGGAAACTGCTTGGAAAAATAAGGCATCAAGTCTGAATCAAGGACATCAGCCATGGTACCAACGCAACTGTAAAGTGAATGCAACACAGTGATGTGCTGCTGGTGACAACGGGGGCACTGTAGCAGAGTCTCAACATTCTGACTACCCCCAACCCATGTTGCCGGCCACTTACCACAATGAGCCGTATGAAAGCCCACACTTTAACTAGCTTCCAATCCGCAACGTTCAATAGCGGAAGTAACCAATCCCACCCCTGAGAGAAACGCTGAGGGGCCAAATCATGATAGGCAACTCCAAATCCAAGCAAAGACTTGCTAGCTGCTCCTTGAAATTCAGCGTCATCCCTGGAGCATAATGCAGGAGAAACCACCCGTGTCATGTATTTTGTTACGAGAACTTTGCGCCGCTTTGCATCACCACGTGCACGAGTGAGCTCATCATTGGAAATAAGTCCAGACTCAAGGATACAAGGACTAGGAACTGGAAAGGTAGACACATCAGTTCTTTGACAGAACTAACCCAAGTTTCGCCGCCAACAGCAAATACAGATGCAAGCACCATCCGGGCTGTTGGGTGCTCAGTGGGCAACAACTGAATTTTCGCCAAGTACACACTTGCTCGCCCAATAGCTTTACTTCCAAGTCTTCGACGCCATCCACTGCAGCCCGGAAATCATATTGACCAGAACTTCCTAAAATTTACCTTGCCCAAGATCCCGGCTTTGCGGGTCTAATAACTAAGAGCAAATAACTCGCAACCATACAGGATTACAGGCTCAACCCTTTGTACGACAGCCACTGCAACGACAGGGGAGGAAAACCACACTCGTTGGACATGTTGGGAACTTCCGTGAACAAGGCTTTCCCACATTAAGGACAAAAGCTTCCTGATTGTCCAAGATCAAATGCTCATCAATAAAGCAACCCAGCACATTGTACACACTGCATTGCATGTTTTGAATATCCGGTGGATCCGCACCATAGCAACACATGACCGCCGTCTTTTGTGGGCCCAGATTATACCTTGCGCGCGTCATTCGTTCATACATTGGCAAAAGCAACACGCACTGCGTTGGATACAGCCTGCTTTGGAGGAAAGGTGGCCACAACATCATCCACGTAGAAAAGTGACCCAATTCCCTCCACCCCAAGCAGTTCCATACACATGCACCGTTCATAAGTTGAATCGCGAGTCTGCGCAAAAACTGATCAGATGCACCTGTCGTCACCCATGCCTGCATCCCCCAATTCATCCAGTCGTCATGACAATGACTTTGTACTAACCATGGTGACTTGGGGATCTGCTTGGGATGGGGGGGGCACCCCGACCAGGTCCGAGTGACAGGTGTCCTCTTCGAGCTGCCTCATGGTTTCCCATTCATAGAGTGCCTGGTGGCGAGTTGCGCAGAACTCAGCAGATTTCCCCCCGTTTCTAAACGCTTTGTGAACCGGACCATCATGTTTATCATCAAAGGGGCCATGTTCCATAACCATATCAAATAACCCAATGGTATCAGCAATGATGGGTGGAACATATATGTCTTTGACTTCTATACATGGATAGAATCAGATTGAATTTTTGCAAACGATCCACCCAACACGAACAAATCCAATGTCACAACCACCCGCCACTTGTTTCCTGCCTGTTTGGTGCAACTAGAAAGGAAGGTGTAACCAACTACTAGGGTATATTGGAACTAACTTGCAGTGAATTCTTAAGCACTCAGTATGGCTAGAGATATTTTTCAGCCACATCAGCTAGATCACAAATCCTGGCGCATATATACTAAATGTTGTTTTTCAGGGTTCCACGGTAACTGCCAAAGTCTTGACAGCCATCATTCTATGCCGGAGGGGGACGCACTGGGGAAGCAGCTGCGGCTGAGGCGTGGACACGAAGGAGAATGGTGGGAGACAAGGTAAATTCTCCCGCCTCAGCGCCGATCCATCGCAAATCACGAAGTTGCTACAAATGCTATGGCAATCCCAAGCGGGTAACGTGCTCAATATTATGATGGTGCCCCCAGTGATGTGAATGTTGGTTTGTAAACCCCATGAAAACTATAGTCATATCTACCATACGCCAATATGATACTTGTTCGAGATCTGTAAGCGTGGCTATGACTACTATAGATCGATAGATGAGATATGATTGGATAGGTCTACCTAACGGCAATCACCACGGCGAACCATGTCCAAAATACAAACGTGTGCTCAGAATACAAGTGCACGACACAAGTTTTGGGTGGTTTTCTATGGTGGTGAACCCTCCCAACATATCTTCTTGGAGGACATGCCTTCATCACATCACAGGGTGTATTCCCCGTAACTTTGCTTCCATAAACCTTCCAAAAACTGACGATGATCGTTAGGTTCATCAGCTTCCGGGGTGTATATCCCCACCAATCAATTTGGAGTGGTTTAAGGCTATGTCTGAATTACAGGCACATCCTGCGAGTTTTCAAAATAGAAAAACACAGGAACAAATAAGATTGAGCCCCCCAAATAAATGGAAAAACAACTAACTATATGTTTGTCTATTATCTCCTTCACATTGTCCAGCTCTTGCGGCACTGTCTCCTGCTCTTGCTGTGTTTCGAGTATTGCACGGTCGGCTTGGTCCAACACACGAGCTATTTTCTCATGTTCAGATTGCCTGGAAGCATTTCTCTTGGCATCATTTTCTAATTCTGTTCGTAGACGCAATTCATTTCTCTTTTGTATGATGAGGTTGGCCTTGGACTCTTCTTGTCTGACCTCCCTCAGCCATCTGATGTAAGCTGGGTCCATTGCAGCTATGAACAATGAAGGTGTTTGAACATGTTTGAACATATGAAATGTTATATTGTTTTTTCCCACTACGTGGTTTGCAGTCTTCTAGATACCCATCATGGTTTGCGCAATTGCTTAGTATGACAGGCTGTATCACATTGTCTTAGCATTTGGATCATGGTGTGAATCAAACTGCCCTTCGAAAGTAGGAATGCTGGCATCATTGATAATTATACGTTATATGATTTATCGTCATTTTCTTATCGGTTCTTCAGTGGGGTTGACCCCTCTTTTGATCAATCACTAGAAAAATCTATGAGTCCCAGCTATGGTCCGGGCGGCCCCAGCACTCCAGGTACAAGGGTGGTAAATTGGCGTCAACATAAATGAGAGGTAGGATCACCAATTTCCCAGCCGTTTTTGCCTATTGATGTGTATCTATGGGGTTATTTCACAACCCTGACGGCTCTCCGGGTGGAGTTCTGAGCCATTATGAGCCATTGATTCTTGGGTCCCAGATGGAGGTTTCCAAAGTCATGGGGTTACCGCCAAATCATCTATCGTAATACGATTTTCCATCCAAAAAAGGGTGAACACCCATGACTTAGGAAACCTCCAGAAATCGACAAAAATCAACAAATCGGAAGGTGCATCCATTAAGATCATCATCCTTCATTCTTATCCTTCCATGATGTATCACACCAAGTCTGTAATAACCTTTGATTCACAACTGGTATATAAGCGAAGGAAGTTTAGAAGTCAAACTTCCGACAATATGGACAGATGAAAAGCAGAGATGGGAAGAGTCAGAGAGAAGAGAAGAGTCAGAGAGAAGAGAAGAGTAGAAGAGAGAAGATGGGAGAAGAGAAAGAGTCAGAAGAAAGAAGATGCAGATGCGCGAAAAGACAGCAAAGTCGCGAAACACTGTCTTTTTTCCATTGATTTGTGGCTCCGGAGGGTCGAAAAGTAGGCTCGCCAAAGCGGCGGGTGCGGAGCCATCTGGCCAGACGAGAGATGCGTAATTGCACGCCATTGTGGCGCGAAGCACCTGTCCAAGTCAAAACGTACAAAACACACCATGCTCGGACCACTTTTGGAAGTTGCGATGTCGAAAAAGTGCACACCGTTGTGGCGCGAAGCACATTTCGAAGTCAAAATGTACAAAACACCTCAGCTCCGGACCACTTTTGGAAGTTGCGATGTCGAAAAAGTGCACGCCGTTGTTGAGATGTCCAAAAATTGCACGCCGTTGTGGCGTGAAGCACATTTCGAAGTCAAAATGTTAAAAGCACTAGGGGTTCGGACCACTTTTAGACGTTCAGATGTCGTTTCGCGTGGCAGGCGCAAGGGATTGCACACCTTCTCAAAAGTGAGCAAAACGTGAGAGTTTTGTCCCATTTCCAGAAAGGCTGGCAGGCGTGGGACATTTGAAGAGGATCTGCAGAGATGCATTTAGCGTGGCAGGCGCAGTACCAAAGACATGTTCATCAGAGATGTTAGGAGGTCAGGGCGCTGATTTCCTGAGAGGGGCTGCATTTTGGAGCGTCAGATCTTCAGGTTTGCTGAAATGATTTTGCGGCACAGGTGCAGCACTTCGTATGACCTGGCATCACTTTTTCGTGGCAGGCGCAATACTTTAGACAGGTGGAGTGGAAAAATTGCGAAACGCATTGGTACGAGGCCGTCGGCGCTGCAGTCAAGTTTCCATTTCTGAAGGAAGTCTCGCAGAATTAATTTGTTTTTGATGTTGTCTAGTTCTAAAATTGAAGACGTCTCGCAGAATTGCTTCGTTTTTGATATTGTCAACTTCGAAAAATGAAGACGTCTCGCAGAATTGCTTCGTTTTTGATATTGTCAACTTCGAAAAATGAAGAAGTCTCGCAGAATTGCTACGTTTCTGACGTTGTCACGTGCAAGCATTGAGGACGTCTCGGAGAATTGCTTTGTCTTTGATGTAGTCAACTTTGAGAAATGAGGAAGTTTCGCAAAATAGCTTGGTTTTCAAGCTTGCAGATAGATAGATAGACAGACAGACAGACAGAGAGAGAGAGAGAGATAGCTAGCTAGATAGATAGATAGATAGATAGATATAGATCTAGATAGATAGATAGATAGAGAGAGATAGAGAGATAAATAGACAAACAAATAGATAGATAGATAGATAGCTAGATAGATAGGTAGATAGATATAGATAGATATAGATAGATATAGATAGATATAGATAGATATAGATAGATATAGATAGATATAGATAGATATAGATAGATATAGATAGATATAGATAGATATAGGTAGATAGATATAGATAGATATAGATAGATATAGATAGATATAGATAGATATAGATAGATATAGATAGATATAGATAGATATAGATAGATATAGATAGATATAGATAGATATAGATAGATATAGATAGATATAGATAGATATAGATAGATATAGATAGATATAGATAGATATAGATAGATATAGATAGATATAGATAGATATAGATAGATATAGATAGATATAGATAGATATAGATAGATATAGATAGATAGATAGATAGATACAGATAGATAGATAGATAGATAGATAGGTAGATAGATAGATAGATACATAGAGAGATAGAGAGATAGAGAGATATATAGACAAACAGATAGATAGATAGCTAGATAGACAGATAGACATCTAGATAGATAGACAGATAGATACATAGATCGATAGATGAAATATAAAGATGAGAGAGAGAGAGAGATAGATAGATAGATAGATAGATAGATAGATAGATATGGATAGACAGATAGATATAGATTAGATATATATTAGATATAGATCAAATTAGATAGATAGAAATATATATATATATCAATAGATTAGATAGATAGATAGGTAGATAGAAAGATAGGTAGATAGATATAGATAGATAGATAGATAGATAGATAGATAGATAGATAGATAGATAGATAGATAAATAGATAGACAGATAGATAGAGAGATAGAGAGATAGACAGATAGAGAGATAGATCGACAGACATACAGACAGACAGACAGATAGACAGATAGATAGACATAAATAGATATAAATAGAAAATATAGATAAATATAGATAGATATAGATAGATATAGATAGCTAGATAGATAGATAGATAGATAGAGAGATAGAGAGATAGATAGACAAACAGACAGACAGACAGATAGATAGATAGATAGATAGATATATATAGATATAGATAGATAGATTAGATTAGATATAGATTAAATATAGATTAGATATAGATTAGATGAGATTAGATTAGATTAGATTAGGTTACATTAGATAGATAGATAGATAGATAGATAGATAGATAGCTAGCTAGCTAGATAGACAGATAGGTAGGTAGGTAGGTAGATAGGTAGATAGGTAGGTAGGTAGGTAGATAGTCAGAGAAAGAAAGAGAAAGAAAGAGAAAGAAGGAGAGGAAGAGAGAGAAAGAGAGAGAAATAGAGAGAAAGAGAGAGAAAGAGAGGAGACCTCAACCACCTTTCGGTCCATCAGTGGCTTCGATCTGCCATCCGCGATTCACAACAACCGACCTCTCCTATAGGTTTCCTATTTCTGAAACTTCCGCCACCGCCTTGTGCGGTACTACTGGTACTTGTGTTTGACAACAATAGGGTATATAATAGCTCGCAACTGGTACATAAATGTAAATTACAGTTCATAACTTCATGACCCCTCTATTATTGACCGCCTTCAGAAAATCCCCAGTAGGTGCCCCATAGGGGCACTGTCCAGTTTGTTCACCAAGGGCTAAACTAACCCACTTACGTGCCCCTATTTAGTTTAGCCCACATTCATTCCATCAAATCATGGAGGTTCAATATGTTGATGACAATTTTCAGTGAAAACCATGTTTGTCACTGTTTTTTTGGTAACTGAGTTCTCCTCCCCAGTGATGTGAATGTTTACAAATCCCATCGACTATAGTTCCCCCAACAACCCGACAGTTCATCAAGTTATGCGCATCAACTTAGCTCTAAATCCCATAGAAATCACCGATGTTTCCTGCTTGAACTCTGTGAAATCACCATTTTCCTATGCTTTCCTTGGGCGATTGATCGTTCACGCGTTACATTCGACCCCAGCATGGCACGAAGCCCTCGGAGTCCACACCAAGGTGGGCAGGTCTGAGGTGATCAGCCGTTGGATCTCAGTGGAAATCGACTGGAGACATAGATAGTACATATATAAAGATATATATGTAACTAAACATGTCATCTATCTATCTATCTATCTATCTATCTATCTATCTATCTATCTGATATAATTGTACACAATTAATCATATAATTAGATATAATCAAATGTAATTGTACATAATTATTAAAAAGTATATGATTATATACATATTACAAATAGTATGTCTCGATATATATATATATATTATTAAACAAATATGTAAACAATATATATAATAGTATTTTGAGATAATCTTGAGATAGCACACACAATATATATATAATAACGATGCGTCATACATATCACTGATCTATAAATAGTCTATAAATGAATATATATATATATACATACATTTGGAAATATACATGAGGTATAATGATGCATCTATAAAACATAATCTATTTTTCTTTGTAGATATATAAAAACAATAATATAATATAATATCATATAATATATCTAATGATATGTTCAAGATGTTTTAAAAACATGTCTATATATCACAAATGATCTATACATATTCAAACTCATTTATAAATCATCTTTAAGCCATCTGTTATTTTTTATTTTCCATGTAAATCGAAATATAGATTGTGTGTAGTTAAAAAATCTAAACATGATCTGTAAATCAAATATGTGGTCTGCGTTCATCTAGTTTGCATTTCTAACTGTTGATTCATCTTAAAGCCTTAAAGATTAACTGATGCAAATTGCCTTAACATATGCATCTCACAACTACGCACTGGTGATTTCAAGTGGTGCACATGTGAAATATCCAGCTGCATAGAAACGCCCTGTGCCCAAGTGCTTGTCAACCTGGAGAATTATGCTCTTCAGCCATTAATGTGGTTCTAGTCCATTTGTAAGAAAAAAAACACCATGAGACTCTCTCAGCATTCTCACTACCCTCTGGTAAACTAACATAGCTATGGAAAATCACAATTTTCAATGGATAATTCCACTATAAATGGGCCATTTTCAATAGCTTTTTGTATGTTTACCAGGCCGGGTAAGTGCCAAAGCTTCTGGCGAAACATCAACCAAGTGGATCTGGTGGATGAGAAGAGGGTTTCTCTGGAAATCATCATTTGTTCATGTGGTGAACCGCCTGAATAGCCTGAACATGGTGATTATTCACTAGATTTTCAGGGATATCTGATGAATCTCATGCTATGGGCTATGATGTGGCTATTTCTTCAGGCATCACCAGATGGTTTTCGCCTTCGAGAAGGGTTTGTCCAAGAAGATCACTTGACCCAGCAGGTCGAAGCCACGCCTACCGCGATCAAAGCAGTTTCATTCCAAACGACTGAGGAGCTGGGCCCCAGTTCAATGGGAAATTCAGGACCTAAAATCAAGGTACTGTACCAATATAAGGCCATAATTTTGGGGATATTCCCTGAGATTTAGCCCTTACATAGGCCTTACATATGGCAGATGCCTCTAATTTAGGTTCCTGAATCGGCCACTGACAATAGCTGAGCTAGTCATAAACCAACATAGCGAACGACCTGGGCCACCACATTGTACTGTTTTGGATTATATAAGTGATACCGTATCTCAATCAATCCATTAAATCTAAGTTTCAAAGCAATTTTCCAGCTAGCCATGTTTGAGCCGCAGCCTACGGGTTGAACATGTTCGAGTACTGAAGGGTAACCATCACATACTCCATTAAATCGAATGAACTTATTGTTGATGCTTACACCGGAGCACATTGTAATTGTTACATCCCATTGTGCAAACATATCCCCATTGCCGTACATATGAAAAATCAGTGGTAACTGCCATGGCCCAGCTTTTATTTTATGGTGCCTTCCGGCTCGGCCGCTCATCTGTCTGTACATCAGTCCATTCAACTCCTGGAGTCATGGAATGCCCGGCAACCGAGGGAATTTGGTCCAACAAGTAGGCACAGCATGGTATCAAATGGTGATATCAAAGGGAAAACTTGAAGGTCCAGTTCAGTCAAATAATTGGCGTTGCTCAACAAGAACAAGAACAAGAACAAGAACAACAACAAAAAAAAACATGACGACGAGGACGACGACGACAACCACAACAACAACCACGACCACGACAACTTGGAGGTTCACCATTTCACCCACAATTGGTGCACCATCCAACCCACAAACGGGTCGATACACAGGGGCCAATCCTCAACTGATGAGTTCAAATATGGTCCATGGTCCTATATAGATGCCGAGTGGAAAGCTGAATGTACTTCAAATCACCAAACCAAAGAATGTGATGGGAATGCTTCTGAGCCACAAAGCTAACATACAAACACAACACATGAATCCCAGCATTTGCTATTCATGGCGTTTTTTTGAGGTTCCATGTTGACTTTCTAGCTTTGGTTCCTTTCAGGCTGACAACCAGATCAAACAACTAGCGTACTTTTACTTACCCTCTGGAAATCTCACAGCTGGATTAGCTAGCTTGGTCTTCATCGGACGTAGTAGCGGCATCATGGTTTCCAATGTTTACTGTTTGATAAAGTCTGCTTGTCCCTTTCTTAATCCCTTCTTCTCTTGGTGAAATAGAGTCTATCGTACCCTTCTTTAGTGCCTTAAAAACACCCAGCAGCTTGTTCGTTTCTGCGTTCAAATGTGGCAGAAGTGCAGTCAATCGCTCGGGGGCGTGCCCGGTGTCTCAGTCCCTCAACTGAAACTGAGAGTATGGGAATATTTTTCCCATCACAGAAGCAGCACGGAACTGCAAGACTGGGTTTGGATGGGTTATAGGAACATGTCCAGTATTATCATTTTCCTTCATGTGGGATTGCCTTGTTGAATTCCTGGAAGGTGTAGCACAGGATCAAAGCCAAGAAATTACCTTGAAGTTTCAGAAACATAGCCTCTGCTAATAAAAAAAAATAAGCTAATAATATCACAATTTCGATGTAAATAATCCACAAATCGGCCATAGTTCCAGTTCGTAGAGGATTTCACAAATTACCAGAGGCCAGAGGCGGTCTCAAGGATTTCCACAGTTATGGCCCTTTACAAAATATATAAGCCAGTGAAATCGCCAAATTTATCAGTTCATGATCACCGCATTAAGATAACCATCGAAATCACCATAAGAATCACTAGTTTCTACAGTTATGGCAATTTATTAGTTACAACTAATTATAAATGCAATTATACATTCCAAAAAAAGGGTGACTTAACGGTGACTTAGTACTTTTAACTGGTATTTCGGACCATAACTGTAGGGCCTTAGCTGCATGGGAAATCATTCGCCCATGTCAATCAAAGCGCGTCCAGCGATCTGGCCCTGATCCAACAGACTATAGGCTTGCGCCGCCTGCAGCGCAGTCAGGTGCTCCCAGGTTCACCCTCGCAAATTCAATCGGAAAAACCTCCATTTGTAGATCATTTTCAGGGAAGCAACGTCACTATTTTCGATAAACATATTCAATTCCATTTCAATTCCATTTCAATTCCATCCCAATTTACCAAAGGGTAGGAGATAAATATGTAGTTTCGTTGAATTTGGGTATTTTCTATAGATACCAGATGACTTTGTCGGAAGATAGTGTACCGCAAAATACCACAGTTGATTCTAATTGACCTTTACCCAAAAAAATGTTTTGCTACTACCATGTTTGAACATCCCCCCGATGCTGGATGCCCCATGTTGTTGGCTATATATCTTTGTGTATTTAAATCTACATGTATGTAATTATGTATACATATATATATATATAACAAAATAAAATATTTTGTTCACGTCCCGTGATATCATGTACCTTGCCTCCAACTAACATGACTCTGCCATCTTCTTTATACGGGCACTTTTCATGGTCTATGTTCGTTTGTGGGCTAGTATTTCCCATCATATCACATTATACTCATTATACCATCATGTTATTTTTATTTTTTGTCTCTCTCTCTCTCTATCTCTTTCCATCTACTGTGCATGTTTGGTATAGATATTCCACATGGCAAGTGTTAAATCATCAATGATTGTTCCACATGAATTTTTGTCCAACGACCAGCACCTCCTCCATACTGAAGCGCCGCGTCACCGCGGATTTCAGATCGACGCCACCATCTGCAGCGATCCTGAGCACGGGCGCAGGTTGCGGCGGAGACCCGAAAACATAGGACATTTTTGTTGATTCAACATGAATCAACGGATTTAAGAATCAAAATGTGGCTTTCAACATGGCAAAAAACCGTGATTTAACCCATTTCACTGTAAAATGGTGTTTCAGACATGTCAACAACGGAGAATTGACTATTCAAGAATGAATTCAACTCAATTAAAGAGTATAACCGGGATGCCAACAGGAGTTCACAGTAGAAATCGGAGTTTAATACCCAACGGGTTCAATGGTTCAACACTCAAAATTGTGACTTTAGCTGGATCCATTCGAAGTTTGAATGGAAATCCCTTGGGAATCCAACCTGGCAATGTGAAATCCTAATCTGCGAAAAGAAGGAAAATGCATGGAAGATTGCGGGAGGGTGCTGCTGTGCATGAAAAGGCATAAAAACTACAATTGCTCACCTGTACTGGTCAGTTCTACGTGAGAATCATGGTTAGCTGGAAACAGAAGTGGCTTTTCGGTAACTTTACATCTCGGTCATTCTGGATCAATTCCATTGGGATAACCAATTTGCTCTATGATAAAACGTAGATGAGCGGATCAGATTTGGAACCTGGGGACAGCCTGGGGATATCTCCGTTCTTTGGTATAGAAAATAGACCCCCATGGCCAATGTCGAGCTGGGTTGCACCCCTTGCCAAGTCTAACAGTGTCGTGTCTGCACCATGCGTGGCAACTCCTTCACGTGGTAAGTCTCACGGCTTTTTCTGGAGCCAGTTGAGAAGTTGTCCTTCTGGTATAATCGTGAATTGCTGATGGCATACGGAGTGCAGCACTAGTGCATGACGTTGAGAAACAAATAGGATGATAGAGTGCATGGCTGTCAATATGGTTCCTTTCGGAAAGGATTCAGCATAATGTTGGACATATTCGATGTTCTAGGTGGAATTCAAAATCACCTTAAACAAACCAAGGTCATTAGATTTTGGTTGCAAGGTCTGATGGAATTGTCCAGGTCAGCGACTAAAACTCTGTAGAACGTGGGATGGTCATCCAGCTACATTCGACTGGAAAAAAATTGACGAAACCGGAAGCTACACCGGCAAGAGACCCCATACAGTGTGGGGGGTAGGAAGTCAATGTGCCAGATGCAAGCACTAGTAGCGATGGAACAGTAACAGTAACAGACCAAGGTTCGACATTACCGTGAGTGCAGAAGCAGGAACCCGTCCTGGCACAAGAAGCAACGCTATGTCTATTCACCAAGACCTCATACCAGAACCCCATAACAGGACACCTAAGATAATTTTGAAGACCTTCTATATAGATCTATATAGAGGGTCTTAGAAGATCTTTATACAAGAACTTCCTATGAACATCCCAGAAAAACTTTCATACAAGCAGAATTGCAGAGCATTTTCGAGATCTGAATGCAAGGACATCTTGAGGAGGATTCTGCAGGATTTCCAAAAGATCTACCCACAAGGACCTGTACGAGATCATGCTAAGGCCTCTGACAGCGTGTCGCTAGGATCTCCAGAAGATCTTCTCACAAGGACCTGTACAAGATCATGCACTGCAAGGACCTCTTAGAGGATTTCACCAGGATCTCTACAAGATCTTTTCACAAGGAATTGTAAGTAAGAGACTTTGACCAAGATCTTCATGCCAGGACCCCGAAGAGAATCTTACAAGATCTTGATCCAAGAACCTTCCAAGAGCCTCCCAGAAGAGCTTTCATTGAAGCACCTATAATGCATGTACCAGTATCGCCGCAAGATCTTCCGTTAAGGACCTGTACAGGAACATGCAATGACCTCTGAGAGCAGATCTCACCAAGATCTGCACAAGATTTTCTCATAAGGGCCTGTACAAAATCTTGCCAGGACCTCTGACAGGATTTCAGGATGATCTTCATAACATCTGCTCACAAGGAACTCTACAAGACCTTGGTCAAGATCTTCATATATTACGAGCCCCTAAGACTGGACTGTGAAACTATTGCAGGATCTTCATACAATAACCTTCCACAGAACTCATGAAATCTTTTTTTTAGAATCTCAGGGACTCAGCTCAAATCATCACCTCACCACAACGAGAGCAACCCGACAGGCACAGAGTGACGGGAGGCTTGCGCGAGCAATGACAAAAGTCGCACCGCGCCACAACGAGACCGATCTGACACGCACAAAGGTGATGAGAGGGTTGCGGGTTTCAGCAATTTGTTTGTCGAAGTCTGCAAAGTACTGCCCTGCCATGCAAAATTAGCACGAGGCCAGCCGGGACAATCGTTTTGTGCGAGACTGCGCACTTGAAATGCACATGGACATCTCGGAAGGGAACTTTGGTGCAAGAATTTTAAATGAAGAAGCCGGGGGCAACAGAGCGTATGTTTGGGAAAAAAACATATATCATACTAGATCCCAGTAGATTAGGGGTGGAAAGAAACATTGCACTGCTCATCTACATGTTGGTCTATCTAAACTTGGGTTAGCCCAACATCCCCGGGTTAATCCACTGCTTACTCATCCAGTTTTCCATAAGGGCTATACCCAGTGCTGAGTCAGTCCCTTTATTCTGCCGGGACTCTGCAGCAACTCGGGCATGTCTTTGGAAGCTCTCGCACCTTGATTCGGGTAGATTTGTCAGCCATGTTTCATGGCACCATGGGGTACAACCCACATGGGTGTCGCTCAAAATCCTGGTTTTGAACAGAACATAGCTGGTTAATGGATAATGGTCCAATAGCTACTAGCCAATCCAAATGTCATTGGGTCGAAGGGAATCTACGAGAAAACTGGTTGCATAGGCTATGTGAGCAGTGCCCAGACCATTCTTGGTCATTGGCTGAACGAATATGGTTCAAGCATAAACTGGGCACCCCACGAGCTGCCAAAACAAGATGATTTAATTTAGGACCAACCTGACCAGCCCAGCTGCGGGTCGCATGAACGGTCCAAACGATCCCCAACCCCCTTGTAAGTGCCCTCATAATATGGGAACCCAAGCTAATAAACTAAACATGAACAAGTCCTTATTAATTCCTTAATACTAAACCATGGTTTCTAAGGGGGTATATGATAGTGGGGGAAGGGAGTGGGTTGGAATTGATGTTGGGGTGACTCCCCACAACAGTCAGAATTGTGCCGTGGTGCCATAGGAACCCACCAAACTGATGCGCCGCCGCACCAAATGGGTGATCCTGGGTGCAAAAAACGATCTGCGATCCCACTCTATTATTTGGTTGATAGGGAAAATCAGTTACTATGTAAACTATATGCCTAAATATACGTGTATGTGTATATATATATACTGTATATAATGTATACATTGACATACAACCAGCAAGTAACCAACCGTTTTTCTTCTGGCATTGCTCAAGTGACCATAGACGTGGTTTTATCCCTTGTGTAAATGGATGTGTTCAACAGGAAATCATCTTCGGTGTGAAATGTTTGATTAAGACTGTAGCTCTTTCGGCTTGGGTTCTCCAATCCTGGTTTGTAGCAATCAACTAAAAGTAGAAAGGTCAAATCCCGCCAAAAAAACAACTTGTTCTTGTTTTTGGAGGTTACTATAAGTTCTCAAAACTACCTTCAAACTTGGATCTCCCTATTGAATTCCTGGCCAAAATCCAGGGATGAAGGTTATACCTCTACCCAATCCTCATTTCATTTCTCTTGGCTAAATCCCAATTGTCCTTTGCAATCGCCAATTTTTCTCCAACTGAAATCCACTTTTCTTCAGGATCCATCCATCTTGAACCCTGGTTAATAAGTCCCCACTATCATATCTATAAATGGGTCATAACACGCACCAGTTACGTGGAGTGAACCACCTAGGACCTAGGAGGTTCAACTCCATACCATCCACTAAATTACTTGCGGAAAATTCACCAATGTTTAGAACATGTTCCACATTTCCAAGGGAAATTCGTGGCTAACCCACCTAATTGACCCATCTACATAATCTACATGTCTCATGGCTGACCATGATTTTGGTTCCGGCCATCTTTTTATCTCTAAGAAAAAGGAAATTAGTTCCTTTTTCATGCTTAACAAATCCACTGAATGGATAAAAATACTCTATATCAATACATGTCCCATTTTCCACATATGTTCCACAGACTTTGTTATTTTTTTGTCCCCATATTTTCCACGTGTTCCAGATACTTTCCAAATTTGTCCATGTTTTTCCACATAATTTCCACATGTTCCCATTTTTCCACATGATTTCTTTAAAAAAAAAAACGCATGTTTCCACATGTTTTCCGCAGTTTCCTGGGAAACCGCCTGCGGAAACAACGCTTCACCGTGCCCAGCGTCGGTACTTCCGCCCTGGTGGTGGCCGAGGCGATGCCCACGTAGCAGGCGCGGCCGCCGTCGCGCACCGCCATCACCGCCTTGAGTAATGTCAAGTTAGGATGATGGTTGATTAATTAGACTATTAGATAAGGATGATGGTTGAATGTTAGGATGATGTCAAGTTTTTTTTTACCCCCAGTTAGGAGTAATAACCCATTAGTTGACTAATAGTAGAGTATTAATATTACCATTTGTAGGAGTAATATAACCATTAGTTTGGATTTAATATTAGTCACTAAAGAGTACCCAAGTGACTCTAGTAGATGGTTGATGTTGCTATTAGATATAGTATTAACTGCCATCTTGCCATCCGTCAGTAAAATTAACTGGTTGATTAATTAGTGACTCTAGTAGATTTATGAAACAATGACTTATATATTGACGTTTATCTGGAAAGTAAGTATGTAATGATGATAGTAATAATGATTTTGATGATAATAATGATTTTCACATCGTGAAATATTTCCAAATCAGTATTTTGAAAGAATATTTATTGATGTCCTACATATCTTTCCAAATGAAGGTATGAGACATGATTTGTTGATGATTCTGATGTTGTATATACTGATGATGATGATGATGACGACGACGATGATGACGATTATACTGATGATAATAATGATTTTGGAAGAAATCATGATTTCTAATGATTCTAATGTTTGTTACAAGTACATGGAATCTTGATTGATGTTTATTTGGAAAGTAAGGAATATACTGGAATGTACTGGGAATACTGAGATATATTGAATACATTGAGATATAAATAACATAAACATATTGTAGTGTGGGACATATCCCAGCAATTGATACTGGACGCGTTTTGTTTAATTGAGTCTTTCTGAATTTGTTCTATTATTTGGTGAAATACTAAAATTTAGGATGCCCAATAACAAATTGCCACTTGAATGAAGACATGTGCAATGGTCAAAACGTGTATGAGCTGGGTTATGGTCATCCCACCATCGCGAGGAATTCCATGGAATTCCTTGTGTTACAATTGGTATATAAATCCCTATCAACAGGGTTCGATGAACATGCCCTATTTTATGGGTAGTCATAATGCAACTCTTGATTATCATTGAATATATGTATATAGCAATATCCCATTCTATCTGACATGAACAATATGCCATTAAATGAACCATATACATAATTCAACTACACGCAAAATAAGATCCATCAATATCCCATCAATATATACATATATAATGTATAATTATACCATATTATACATGGCTTTTTATTGGTATAACCCACAAGAAATCCAACTATGATCAACTCTCCAGTGGCACCCAACCACCGGCCAGGCACCTGTTCAAACGTGGCCTTGGAGCCAATCACCTCGATACACACATCCGCCTGGACGATAGGAATGGTCAGATGTTCAGCAGAAAAAAACAGTGGTTTTTCATGGCATCTTAAACAGGATTATGCTGGAAACTAAGTTGGTGAAGTTGGCAAAGTTCTGGTAAACATCACTATTTAGGTGAATTCTATGGTTTATGGTAGATGCAACTATAGTTATTGAGTTATAGTCCACCAACATTTCACTGCGGGGCACCACCTTGCAGGGATTCCCGTGATGGGTAATAATCCGTAAGCCAGCTTGATGAAGAAAACGCATCTGTCTCTATGGTGCCCCGGGACCTTCGTAGAGACAGCGCGATGCAAACCAAATAGACATGCACCGCTTCAACTTAGTGACACAAAAGGGACCTTATCGGGCTGGTGGTTTTAACAATCTTGAAACATATTAGTCAATGGGAAGGATTATCCCATATATTATGGAACATAAAAAATGTTTGAAACCACCAACCACTTATGATAGTTGATTTACAATTACAACATATATTTCCCATAAAAGGCACCAAACAAATCAAGAAATCATCCCACCGATTCTGAGAAACATGCATATGTCAGCCCACTGGCGCCTTGTATCCTTCGGTAGCAGCTGCGATCCGTTCTAGCACGTCTTCCTGTTGGAAGGGCTTGGCGGCTTGGAACGATGTTTTGATAATGGTTCTCTTTATCATAGGATAATGTATATCATATATCATATATAATGTATCTGTGTATCATTTACATATCGGTATATATATATATACATATGATATGATAATTCTCCTCATTGTTGTTAGAAGTAATTGTTGTTGTGGTAATTCATCGTTGTGCTGTGATCAATGGGGCCCCAGCTCCAATAGCCTACCAAATTGGTCATTTCAATGGCCATACTTGGTGGTATATCCCCTGAAATGTTGCCCTAAACGGGGTCACTGGGTCCGAAAGCAGCACCGGATTTGTCTCAAATAACCATTTGTTGTTCCCGAGAGAAATGATATTTTGATCACAATCCATTAGTTTTGTCTTTTTTTCTCAACATCTTCAGACACATATAGTTATATAATTCTGTTAATTTGCTTTACAAGCCGACATTAATATAGGGTTCAATCCCAGCTAAATCACCTTTGTCAAGTTCCATAGAAACATCACCATTGCAAAACAATCACCTTTGTCAACTTCGAACAAATCACTAAAAACTATATGTCATTATATGTCTATCACATTTCTCTATATTTACCAGACATCCTCCTCACATTTCACGAAGATTTCGAACCCTCACAGCGTCGTCGAGCCGTCGAGCCTTGCTGGCGTCCACGCAATGATCGGCGCCGAAACTCTTCGCCAGGTCTAAGGCCTTCGGACTGATGTCCACCTCAGCAATGCGGTGGATTGGACTGGGTCTTTAGCAAATTGGATGGCTTCTGAATAGCTACTATATATACACACAATGTGTACAATATCTATATATATATATATTTACACGGTATATATATATATGTACAGTACATATATATATATATATATAAATATAAATATGTACAGTACATATATATATATACACATACAGTACATACATATAATATTATAAATATATATACACAATGTGTACAATATATATATATATGTGTGTATATATATATATACACACAGTATATATATATATACAGTACATATATATATACACATACAGTACATACATAATATATATAATATACATATATATGTATAAATATAGATATACTATATGTGTTATAATTTATATGTGGATATGATGTAATCACAAATTATGGGATATTATCCTACTTGGTTATGGGATGACATTCGGAGTTTGTATAAGAGTTATGCGATCTGGATATACAGTGTTAATTGTTGACGTTTTGACATATTAACTTGGGAAATGTGACACAAAGCGGCTTAAATGTATGGGATCTAGTGCCATATAAGGGGATAGTAAGGAGTGAATGTTGGATATAAACTCTGTATGATATAGCTATCTAGCAATCTAGTATTGACCATCTGAGTCATGCGGGATTTCAATTCAAATATAGACGACGATATGATGATATGCAACCTGGATTTCAATGCTGGTTTAGTGGAAATAGAGCTTGTGCAAAATGAAAACATAGGGATGGGTCTGAGATAGGTATCTCTGAAAATTTGGATACCCATGCAACTAACAATGTGATTTGAAAAAAAGGCATGATCATCATGAAACAACAAGCCAGATTTTGGAGCGCCCTTTTGTAACTTGGATGCGGGTCAAACTATGTCAAACTCACCGCAAACATTCGATGGCAGCCTAGTGCCTTCCCCGAGGTGAGGAGTGTGGTGAGCCATACCCCCAATCCATGGCCTGCGCAAATTGGTCGTGGGCCCCCGTATCCCCGTACCCCTTCAACAATGAGAAGAAAAAACAACTGGATGTACGTAGTAAAACCTTTGGTATCCAGGTGACGGCCCAATCATTACCATATTATGGATATGTTAGGCTCACGAACCCATTATTCTGGTTTGACTTGCCTCCATGTCAGCCATTGATCATAGTACCTACATGTTCTAAAGTATTCGCAGTAGGAGACGTGACTATTCTACAATACAATGCATATATAGATAATATAAGTGTTCTATAGAATTGATCAACCAAACTTAGCCAAAGGATGCCGACAAATGTTGTGTACCAACACTCCAAAGATAAGATAAGGCACAGCGATGATGGGGCCAGCGCCCAAATGTTTCGCCAGTTGGACAATACCTGCCACAGCAGGTTTTGTTTGGTGCCTTTTAGAAAAAAACTTTCACAATTGATCTATTGTAATATATATATATATATGGAAAATGTGGAGATATTCTAATTATATGTAATTGATCATATTATACATAATCATAAATATATATATTGGTATCATTGGCATAATGTCAACCCCGGATTCATGAAGCCTGCTTGATTAAGCATGGCTACGTACCCACAACGGGCGATAACCTGCTCCTAAACCACCCAATGGACCCGGGTTCCAGGGCGGACCTATTTCTTTGAAGGTCAGATGTATTTCACTACCAGCGATACAAGAACCATATGCAGAACTGGTAGATAACCCATGTTGGGGGCAATCTGATAAAACCAACAACAACCCCCAATTGGGGATGCATGGTTAAAAACAGTCCCATGGTAAAGTTTGGTATGGTAATATCAGCACCCTGTGATAATTTAACGTGGCATTTGAAGAATATCTCACCAGATTTCTCCATTGAAACCGTCATGGTTTGAATATTAGTCATATATATATATACGTATATATATAATTATAATTATATATATATATATTTTTATTATCGTGTGAATATACATACATATTATAACATACATGCCCGATATATCTATTCTATGGTTACATCCCATCATATCTCATTACGGTGAACCTCATTTGACCCATAATAAGCATGGGTAACAGTATGAACAAATATAGGGTAAATACGTAAATCTCCATCTTCATGGGTCAATTCAGGGTCTACAGTTACACACCTTTTTGCCAGGTTTAACCCGATTTACAAATCGCATCATATCCCAACTCAATCTAAATCATATATCCCAAATTATGTCTCAAATAATATCCCATTGATCATTGTATCTATACTTCCATGCGTACATATGTCATATACATAAATTAGTATCATATCATAATGATCTGTGAGTACAAAGTCATAGCATTGTATCCTAAAAACAACAAATCCTAACCCACAATATCTAATTCTATGTTTAATACATAAATGTAAATATAAAAATCATATCCAGTTTCATCCCCACAATGTGGTAGACCGAATAATAAAGCAGCATTCCTCTGGGTGGTATAGCCATTGGTAGGTTAATGGCATTAGGTCTGCCACATCAACCAACTTAGTTTACCATAGGCCAGACTGTTATGTCTAAGTAGTTGGCTGGCGGCTTGTAGAACGCCGGCAGCTTTCGCGTGCTTTCGTGCACGTGGGGTGGGGTGGGGTGGGGTGGGTAATAACGTCTTGTTCACACTGCTTCTAACACGCTCTTGACGCTACGCTCTTCACTTCTTCAAGTACCTTCCAACACTCTCTTGCTGCTACGCTATGCTACGCTCTTCACTTCTTCAAGTACCATCAAGTACCTTCCCACACGCTCTTGATGCTACGCTCTTCACTTCTTCAAGTACCTTCCTCGGGTCTAAATGACGTCTATAGAAATTTGACTCAAGTCCTGAAACGCATGTGAAACATAAAGACTTGGAAGTCTGACGCAAAGAATTTCAAAAAAAAGAAGTAGCTTATCGCAGGATTTAACAGAGTCAAAAAAATGGACCCAAACACAAATCCTTGAGAAAACGCACGCAAAATGAATTGGCCACGGTTGGAAAAACAGGCGGCGTTCTGTGAGCCGCTTACCAAGTAGTTGGATAGACCTACCATAGTCTCAGAATTGCCTATAGTTATCAAAATTAGATATGGGGGTTTCCTAAAATATAGGTACCCCAACCCACAAACCATCCGTTTACCCGTAGATGATTTTGAAAAAACACTGTTCATGGATGATTAAGCAAAATGGATGATTTTGGCCTACACCCAATTTAGGAATATATAGGAAACCTCCAAAAAATAATATGATATAAAGTATAACTGGAGGCATCAAAATATCATGTATTCCCAATTTAGGAATATTTACAGTTCTGGCCATGTATCAGTTATAAGTAATTATAACCCCAGTTATAGAATGTATAATCCCATTTATAACCAGTTATAACTGGTAAATGGCCATAACTGTAGGAATATAACGTGATATCATAAGTATAACTGGCCCCATCCCCAACGGATCAATCTCCTCGCCTTGTCCAACACCCCCGGCACCGATGATCACCAAACTCTGGCCACCGCGAAGATCCGCAGCGTTGCCTCGACGGAGCGACGGCGACGTTGGTCACTATTTAAAAGAGGGCATTTCAAAGCCGTGGTCACTCTAAAAGTCAAACAGATTGGACAGATTTAAACCACAATATAAATATCATCCAACATATTATATTCTATTATTGTTTGGCAGAACAAAGATATCCAACTCGAAAAACACAGATTTAACATGGTTTAACATAATTTAACATAATTTAACCATGTTCAGCCCAGATGTCTGGTGTCTTTAGTCAGATTTCAAAGATACAAAGTGCTAAATCCCTACACACAAGTTATGATGAATGGTATATGAGGGTGCTGCTTTATTTGCATTCCAATTGGTTTGACAGCAAAAACGTGTGTATTGACCTTGTTCTTTAAGCCGGAAGAATATTTGGCGCACCATTGAGCGGGTCGTGGCGACTTTCAATTTCAATCCACGTACCACTGTCATATCATTAGATTGATTTAAAGAACAAAATCTTCGCCGGAAACCATGGTTGTTGCCATCAAGTTCATGGTGGGTTCCTGAAATTCCAGATAATTCCAGAATGTTCCGATCCAGTTCTAGGACTGTTTTTGGCCATGAGTTCAAGCTTCGACGTGGCACTCTTTGGAGATCGTGGGAATCGGTTAACTGACTGAACAACGTCCACATCCTACATCATGATCACCAATCTGGAACGGCAAGAGAGGCTCTGAAGCTCTCGATCAAGATGTTGGTTGAAGCTCTCGCCGAATTCCAAGTTGGTTAAACCACTTGGCAAAGTGACTTAAGCTCCGACCGTACGCGGCCCCAAATTTCAAGCTTTGCAGGCTGCTTGGCCAAGTTACTCGCTGAAGACTTTGGTTGAACCCGTCGCCAAACGTGAGGCTCTGCAAACGGCTTGGTAATGTCACCTGTTCAAGGCTCTCATTGAAAAGCCGACCGAGCCTCAAACTTTGCAGAGTGGATGGCAAGGTCTCTCCTCGAAGGCTTTGATTAAAGTCGTTGAACTTCCCCTCAAATGTCAAGCTTAGCAAATTGCTTGGGAAAGTGACCAAATTGTGACCAATTCCAGGCTCTGATTGAATGCCTGGCCAAATCTCAAGCTTTGCAAATTTCTTGCCAATGTCACGTGTTCAAGGCTCTGGTTGTACAAAACCCCAAAGGTCAAGCTTTCCAGGCTGCTTGGCAACGTCACCCCTTCCAGACTTTGGTTAAACATCTCACCAAATTCCAATCTTTTCAGGTTTCTTGGCAAGTTCAATTGTTGAAGGTTCTGGTCAAAGTGAGAGCTGAAATTCGAGCTTGGCAAACTGTATGGCAAGGTCACTCATTGAAGATTTCGGTTCATGCTCCGACCAAGAGTCAAACTTTGCAGACCGCTTGGCAAGGTCGCTCCTTCTTCAACGCTCTGATTGAAGTCGTAACCCAAGGTCAAGCTTTGCACATGCTTGGTAGGGCTACCATTCAAGATTGAAGTTGAAGTCTTCATGAAAGGTCAAATTTTGCAGGCTTTTCGGGAAGGCCACTCTTTCGAGGCTCATGTTGAACATCCTTCCGAATTTCAAACTGAGTAAACGGTTTGGCAAATTTACTCCTTCAAGACACTGGTTGAAGCTCCAACCAAAAGTCAAGCTCTGCAAACTGCTTGGCACGGTAACTCGTTCAAGGCTCTGGCTGAAGCTCCAACCAAACGTCAAGCTTTGGAGACTGCTTCGCAAGGTAACTCGTTCAAGACTCTGGTTAAAATTAAAGCCCATAGTGAAACTTTTCAGATTGCTTGGCATGGTCACACCCTCGAGACTCTGGTTGAACATCCGACCTAATGTCAAACTTTGCAGACTGCTTGGCAAGGAAACTCCTTCCATTCTCTGGTTGAACATTTCACCAAATTCCACGCTCTGCAGACTGTTCGGCAATGTCACCCGTTGAAGCCTCCTATTGAACATCCGACCAAAGGTCAAATTTTGTAATTTGGTTGGCAAGGTCACTCGTTCAAGGCTCCTGTTGAACTTGACACCGAAGTTCAAGGTTTGCAGACTGCGTGGCAAGGTCACACCTTCAAGGCTCTGAGCGAACTCGTCACCAAAACTCAAGTTTTCAAGGCTTTGGGGGAGGTTGTATAACCAATAGCAATACTCCACCGAGTCTGCAGCCGCTATTTGGGTCATGGCTTCCAATATGAATTCTTCCTGAGCGAATCAAAATCCATGAGCGTATTTCCATGCAGCACTTAAATCTGTTGGAGCATAAATGCAGGACAATGTTGCACTCTCGCCCACAATGCCTTGCTGTCTCAACGTTTGGCGAAGCTTCAGCGGTGAATCAAGATGGTGGAGAGCGGGCTTTGCGCCTCTCTTTGGAAGCTGCTTTGAAACCATCTTCTGCACTTCCCGTCCCAGAGCAAGAGCACCCAGCTTCAATCTGCATCCTTCACCATTCAGGTATAGCACATTGATTTCAATCAAGTCCGAGTCACTGACTGATGGCTCTTTGTAGCCACCAGCAGTGGTCGACATCAGCGGGATTTACTTCAAGTCACTGCGAGCTGTTAGGCACCTTGAGCCAACCTCCCTGGCACCATAGAGCATCTCCACACAGGGTGCTAAACTTGTACAGGTGCGGCTGCTGAAAGCTCAGTAGAAATCAAGCTCTCAATTCACTTCCCAAAACCAATTGTTCACATACCTCCGAATGTTCACTTAGCTAATCCCTTCCCCCTCAGAATTTAAAAACTAACAAAACATGGTTTGCGGAGCCGTGGATCTGTGCATTTTGCAGGTCAGTGGTGGCTTCGTATTACGGGAATTACATGGAATTACATCTGGTTGGTGGTTTCAACCCTCTGAAAAATATTGGTCAGTTGGGAGTATTAATGTAAAAATAAAACATGTTCCAAACCGCCAACCAAACATTGTACTGTATAGCGTCAACCTCGGATGAAAAAAAAACATGCTGTTTACCATTGAGCATAGTAAATGAAATCGCTTGAAAGTTGGGTAAGCCCAGAGATTCTTAATCAAGCACAGCGACTATTCATCCACATCGCTCCAGTCTAAGTAACTCCCCCCTTGGTCAAGGTTCGAATGGCCCCCATCGCTGTGAAGAAAGCACAGCCCAGCAAGGAAGATTCTGCGAAGTTCTTCCTGAGACACGGCTGGGCTCGGTGAAGACTGACCTCCAAAAACATAGCTGGATGATCCAACTGAAGTCATTAATGGAGGATTAATTCGGTGGATGAAACTAGTGTAATGAAGTTTAAAGTTAATTAAAAGTGAATTAAAGAAAATGGGATTCGCTCAATTCACTCCGAATGTTTTGGAGCGGATAAAAGTACCATGAAGCATGATCATAACCTGTCGGATCCTGTGGGTCTTAAAAAGGTGAAACAATTGGGAACACAGGTCTCCATCATTCCAATCCCCAAATGTGCTCTGACACAATCCTGATGATCCCCTTCCTAATTTTGGTGCTTCAATTCCGATTTTATAATTATGGCTTTGATGGCTAGAGTCCCATTTTTTTCTGGTAAAAGTCTAATTGGTTGATGATTGAATTCCCGATTTTGCTATTTCTCAATGCAACATGTTGATAAATTCTGTACCGACCTGAAAAGTTGGGCTATTCGGGGATGCTTCCCCTTGTGATGCCGCCATAATCTCTCCAAATTCTATAGTGGAATTCCAATTGTTCTTGGTTTAAAAATTCTAAATTTGCCGGTAAACGTCCAATGTTTGATGGTCAAAACCATTTTTTTCACAGTTTCGCTCTATCATCCCAATTTTGGTGATACAATCCCAATTTTTCCCATTTGCATTTCATTTCCCAATAGTAAAAATAATGGTTTCTATACATATGGAGGTTTCCTAAAATGGGGGGGTAATTACCCCAAATTATCAAAGTCATGGATGACCATAACTTAGTACTGAAATGTCCAATTTTACCCAAAAAATAACTCCTTGGCTGGCAGATATTCCAACAGATTCAAGTGATTCAAGGATTACCCTCTGGTAATTTAACGGTTTGCTATTGAAAACGGCACATGGCTAGTTCGTTGATTTACCGAACTTAAAGATGATGATTTTCCATAGCTTTTTGTATGACCAGAGGGTAAACCATCCAGACTTGGAAAACCCCATAGCCAAAGCTCTTCGCCAACAGCGGCGGCAGCAGAAACGCCGCCGTCTCCGGCACCACGGCGTACTCCGCGAGCCCCGCGAAGGAATACATCGCGATGGGCTCGGTCCCCGTTTCCGCGTCGTAGAGACGGGTGCTTCCGTCGTAGAGCTGGCCCTTCAAGCGATTCCTGAAGGCTAAGGCCCGACAAAACTGAGAAGTGGAGACATATGAGATCAGCAAAAAATGAAAAGTGTCAAAAAATCAAATGATAATTTTGAAAGTGTGATTCTTATAGGATCGATTTCAGGGATTGAAACACTTTGGAGAGATGGAAAATGACACATCATTGGGGATTGAGGGCCGAAAATAGATATTTAACCCACAACATTGGGATATGGGGATACCAAAGGGGTAAAAAATCGAGTGGTTGGTCGCTGCTCCGCCCATTTAAAATAGTATGGGTGATATGATTGAATATGAACGGGGAGATAAATCGATGGAAAGGTAATATCAACCAACATAACCAACAAAGTCATGTGGAAACATCATTCTGAACTTTGCGGAGTGAACAATACACAACAAATAACATATGTTTGATCTGCGGTTTTTATCATTCTAAGATCGTAATCCAATGATGATCCAATGCTTCCAGCAATTGACCCTCTCAATCATACCCTAAATCTGCCTCAGAAAGCATTTGGATCCGTAGGAAAAATATGGTTGTGGATCAAAAACATTATGCTGTTCACATCAAAATCCCTGAGAAATGGCAATGCTGGTATCATGGCTTTTGACCCATCGACCGACAGTCTTGATCCCAAAATTCACATTGCCAGATCCAATCAGCTTAACAAAAAAAAGTGCCGGGAGTCAAAGCGAAAAAGGGCGCACACGTATCCTCTTCACCTGCGGAGTGTGGCCAACGTGAAGCCAACTGACCTCCATAGAGTTAGATGGGTCACTACGACCCACTTGTTATAGGGGAGATCTATGGGATGTTATATAAGTTATATATATATAACATGTATTGCATATATATATATAACTTATATAGCATGTGGAACATACATATTATATATATACATACATATTTACATGATATTAAACACATCATATCGATGAAACCCAACAAACAGCTATCTATGGCCCAAGTACGGATCAACTCCTAAACATCTTCAGATGCACTGCTGCACATTTTGCTCGAAATCATCCAACTTTGTCCATTTATCTTGGCAAATTATAGTAATTCACTAACCTGAAATAAGCCAAATAGGTTATAAGCCAAATAGGTTATTCAGCTCTTGGCAAATTATAGCAATTCACTAACCTGAAATAAAACCATTTTGGGATGATTTTCCTCAAATAAACCATGATTCCAGGCTTCGAACAGGCTTCGGTCGTTAGAATTTGCCCTTTTTCGAGGCGGTACACGAAACTTGCGATTTTTCTCGGATCAGTCCTACGAGGTGGCCTTTAAAGGGGCCGCTAAGTTTGAGTAACACACAAACCCTGATTTATCGTAGATATAACATATAACTAACATGTGACCACTAGATAAACCACTTCCTAACTTGCGCACCATCACCAAAGATTCACCACGTGATTCACGAATGCGACTCACCTCGCTTGCAGTGAAAGCATGAGCCACAGGGCATGATGAAAGTGCAGGCCACTCTTCCTCCCAGAGGTAGCCTTGAGTGGTTTGGTGGCATTGAACCAAGAAAAGTAAGTGTAGTGCTTGGGTAGATACCTTCAATGGATTGGTTAAAGGGAACAATGACAGGAACACTTCATATTTCATAGAAAAACCTATGGTTTCCTGTAGATTTTCCCTTAAACCAATCCATTGATACCTGGATTTTGCGACTATTATATCATATTTCTGGGTAGATACCTGGATTTTGCATGATTTTGGCACTATCACATCTTTCAATCAAAGAAGAAATGAACATACTGAACCAAGTTCCTGTGGGTGAGAATTCACGGGCGCGTCACTGTAGGGTTCAAAAACATGAACAATTATTTTACTTCGAGTGATCCCCACCATGACATGTATACGTTTTGTTACTGGCAAATCTTCTGGCATTCTATCTGATATATCTTCTGGCATTCGATCTGGCATTCTATCTGGCATATCTTCTGGCATTCTACCTGGCATATCTTGTGGCATATGTTCTGGC